TTTGCACAAACTTTGCTTATAGTAAGATGGTCAACTGCAACTCTGTCTAATATCATGTTAGGTATATTTTCAATCATTGTGTTACAATATTCTTTGAAAGTACTTTGATAAAAATCTGAATTAACAAATGAACCAATTGAAATGGATATATGATTTTCATAATCATGTGCTGTTTTTCATGATAACTGATCTATAGTAATAACCTGACATTTTTCTTTAGACGTTAAGTTAGTTCTATTAATATGGACACCTTCTTGTGTTGTAGCATGAAACCCATAGCCCACTCTGCTACTTGCAAATATGAAACCAAGTTCATGAGCCATTAGCTCAACAGTACTTCAATGAGGATTAAAAGTAACAAATATTATTTAAAATAACACCCATATAGTTTCCTATTTTGCTCTTAAGATATGGAATATATATTATAATATTTTTCATCTGGCATAATTATATTTCTTTCCTTCTCAAACTGGAGCAAATCATTCTCCAAACTAGCAATTACTCTGTTATTTGTCAAAACGTCAACTTTATGCTTAGTTTTTAGTTGCCTTAACTTATGCTTTTCATTTAGTTTCAAAGCTTTTTTTTCAGCTTTTAAGTGACAAATCCGCTCACAGTAATATTTTATTTTTTTATTTTTTTTTTCAGATCTGATCTTCTAGCTTTAATTATTTCTTCTTTTAGTTTAACGTTTTGTCTTAGAATTAATTGATATTAAAATTGATAATTAATTGATTTGGCATGTTGTTTGATTCAGCTTTTAATAGTGCTCCAATGTTCTAGATAAGCAGGGTTAGCATTAAAAAACCAGGCTGAAGAAACCCAATAAAACCTGGGCAATCTGGGTTTTGTTAAGATTCTTTAAACTTATTTTATAATTTTATGAACTATTATAATCAACATTAACATTCTAACTATTATATTGTTAACTAAATAAATTATTAACTATTATTTTCAACTAAATTATTAACTGTTATTATAAACTATTATAACCAACAAGAACAGCTATTAGAGAAGATTTACTACATTTGAATCATTATTTTGAAATACATTATCATAATTTTTACTCAAATATTTTTATAAATTGAGATTTTTTTCATCTTTTATGTTATTCACCTCCCAAAGATAAGAAGGCCACTACAGTCAAGGAGCTACCTTATTGTGGTTGCAACCCTCTCTCAACTCTTTAACTCCAAAACACAATCTTTTATGAACAAGGCTGCTGTGCAGAGCAACAAGTTTGTTTATTTGAGTTTCAAGTTCAAATTTGAAGTTCAATTGAAACTTCAGTTACTTTCTATAATTCTCCAGCCTTTTTTTTAACATTTCTCGTTGACATTTTTAATTATAAAAATTATTACTTTTAAATCTAAAATAAATCAATACATATCAATTAAACATGAATTTAATTTTCCTATTACAGTTTTAAATTATGTTTAAAAATCTTTTTCAATATTATTTTCTCTTTTTCGTATTTTTTTAATTTATACTTGATGTTCAAACAACAAACAAATTTTTAACTAACTTTGGTATAGTTTTAGGGATGTCTGGGTATGCTTTTTTTTTATTGAAATTTCTCAGGTAGTAAGAAAAAAGGTTTTTAAAGGTGAGAGGCTATATTGGAAAAATGATCCAGCATTTCTTTGATATATGCTTGATGTCCAAACAACAAGCAAGTTTTTAAAAACAACTAAATTCATAATAAATAAAAGTTTACATCAAAGGAGTCTGTGCAAAATTAAAGTTTTAATTCTAGTATCCAAGTCTATGTTAATACATATATATATATATATATATATATATATATATATATATATATATATATATATATATATATATATATATATATATATATATATATATATATATATATATATATATATATATATATATATATATATGTATGTATATATGTATGTATATATGTATATATATATATATATATATATATATATATATATATATATATATATATATATATATATATGTATATATATGTATATATATATATATATATATATATATATATATATATATATATATATATATATATCAAATTGTTAATTATGTTAAAATTTTGATAAAATTTTACCAGTTAATGTAGTTCTTTAACTTTTTATAAACTTTTAATTTGTAATTTTTTATTTTATAATTGCCAAATTTTAATAAACAAACACTTATCAGTAAGACACTTGGTCAGTTTTTATGTAAAAACAAAACAGGATGTGCTTTTCACTAGTTGCGATCATTAATTTTGATTTCTAGTTAAGTAAGGATTATAAAGTTTTCAAAAAAATACTTCATCGGATGATTAGATTTTTAATTTCTTTTTTAACATGCTCCTTTTAAAAAAATGTTTTTTAATTCTATTGACAATTTTTTTTATTTATTAAAAAAGTGAAGTACCTTTGGAATTATAGTTTTTATATGTTTCTGTTTGATTTTTTCTGACAAGTAAGATTATTTGTGACTAAAAATATTAAAATAAAAAACTAAAAAATTTAACCAAGGGTTTTATGAAATTTCAGCCTTAAAGTTGAGTTTTAGGGAATTTATTTGAAAATCTATAAAAGTTGATTAGTTTATATTAATTTTTAAATATATTTTTTAAATAAGTTTCAGCATTTAAAATACATTTAGTAAAATCTGCATTAAAAATATATGAGTTTTTATTTTCATATTTTTGCCCTTTTCTCATTTTATTAGGGAAAAATTGATTCCAAAATATTGTAAAAACCGAGTCATTTTAAAAACCAGGTCAAACCCAGAACAAAAAAATTCAGTATTAAAGTTCAAATATCTTTGTAACTGTTTAGGCTTACAAAAAAGTTTGTTAATCTTTCTTTGTAACATGCACAAAAAATTTCAAGTGATGTTACCTTTTAATTTCTGCAATACAAAAGCACATAAAAAAAAGTACAGAAGCAATCAAAATATGGTTAATCAAATATAAATAAATTGATAATGATTTTTCACGTTTTATTTTTTATATTTGACTATGCTTGATTTTATTTTTTATGCTTGTTACCTGAGCTAAAATTTTATATCTATTTAAGTACATGAGTGAAAATTATCTTACTAATTATTAATTTATAAAATTTTTAGGTTCCTTTTTTGATACTTTTAAAATATTTATTCCAAACTTCATCATTGTTCTTGGGATGACCTTGGCATTGCTTGCTTCTGTTTTCATCCTTCCAAAGGAGTAATATAATTTTTTTTTATAAGTTTTGTTTGTATATATTTACTTTTTTCAAATTTAAATTTATTCACATTTTTTTGATTATTTTAAAAGTGTCAATTAAAGTTTATTTATATTTTATAAGTTAAACTATTATATATAGATATTTATATTATAAGATAAACCAACTGACTAATCCTAATATCTGTATCACTGCTTTTTGATATGACATTGATCCATGATATGACATAAAAATAAAACTTGGTAATAAAAACATAAATGCATTTATTGAATCACATTTACTTAATTCTGAATCAAAAAGGAATGCATGTAATTAAATGTACCTGCGTTCTGATGCAGAATTAGTTTTAATGTAATTGTGCTCAACTTGTTTTTCTGCACAGCTGCCTTGTTTGTCAAGATTTGGAGTTACAGAATTAAGAGAGGGTTGTAATCAAAGTTAACTAGTCGACTGTAGTGGCCCTTGTGCCCTTTGGCAGGTTAATATCATTAAATAGAAAATAATGATAGTATTATAATATTGTATTTTCTTTAAGTTATTTATTTAAATTAATAATTTATCTAATTGTTTAATTTAGTATGGGTGTATAGAAATATTTTAATAGAAACTTATACACACATCAAGAAAATAGGTTTTAGGTTATAATCAGATTTTGCCCAAATATTTTAATGGTACTGTTATGTTAAGAATATTGAGAATATTTAATAATAATAAGAAGAAGAATATTTAAAGATCAAAAAAAATACAAAATTAAAGTTTTTTTAAAAAAGTGATTTTTAAAAAACTTCATTCTTTTTTTTTTTAAATGAAGCTTTTTAAAAATACAGCCAAAAGAAAAATAAAAAGAGCTAAAATGTATGGAATGGTTTCCTCAGTGGCCTGATTTAAACTGGATCAAGTTTTTATGGGACAAGTTAAATTAGAAATGTTAGAAAAATGCGACCAACCTATAAAATCACCTTTGGATACTTATCTAAATATTTTGTAATCAAATATCACTGAATCATTGCAGAAATTGATTGAAAGAATCTACACAGTTAAGGATTCAAAGAAAATATTTGTTAGGTCATGAAGTAATTGCTGTTATAAAAGCAAAAGGAGAACAATTAAAAAATCAAAAATTTAATAGACTTTAAAAATAATTTAAAAGATTTTTTTTTTGTCCTCTTATTTTCAGCACTCCCTTGCAAGTCAGGCTATTTGATAATTGATGTTTGTACTTGTTCTCTATAAAAGTTTCTTACTAAAACATTCTTTTACAAAAACAAAATGCTTAGGGGAAAAAAATTAGCGGGAACACTAAAATGTCTCCAATAATGCTAAGGTCCCCATTAGTGTTCGTTTTTTTGTCAAATCTGTTCCTGTAAAAGCTTGGAAATTGGGTGCTTCACGAATTGAAGCCGAGAGACGTTGAAAGGCAATTTTGCATGTTGCAAATACTGCTTGAACGCCATCAAAGTAGGTTGTTTTTGTATTGCATTGTTACTGGTGATGAAAAATGGATTCACTACAATAATCCTTAGCGCAAGAAATCGTTAGTGAAGCCAACCATCAACATCAACGGCGAAGCTAAATATTCATGGTGCAAAGGTAATTCTCAGTATTTATTGAGATCAGAAGGGAGTGTTTTATTATGAGCTGTTAAAATTGAGCCAACCAATCACAGGGGATTTTTATTAAACACAATTGATGCGTTTGAAGAGAGAAATTGTGGAAAAATGTCCAGAAAATGTGACCAGACACGAGGCCATAGTTTTCCACCATGACAATGCTCGGCCTCATGTTGCTAGGTGAGTTAAAAATTATTTAAAAAATACCGGCTGAGGAGTTCTAGCTCACCTTATAGCCTAGATATAGCTCTTTCTGACTACCACTTGTTCCGATTAATGCAGAATACCCTTACCGGAATATGCTTCACTTCATTTGATGGTATTGAAAATTGGCTTAATTTGTTCTTGGCAGCCAAGCTAGAGAAGTTCTTTTGGAATGGAATCCACAACCTGTTTGAACAATGGGCAAATGTTGTAGCTTCCAATGTACAATATTTTGAACATTGAATGTATAACCATTTTTGTATGTATGTATATGTATGTATGTATGTATGTATGTATGTATGTATGTATGTATGTATGTATGTATGTATGTATGTATGTATGTATGTATGTATATGAAATAAAATTCATTACACAAAATATAATAAGAAAGTATACACATTTTTTCTTTTTTCACAGAACTTACAATGATAGAGACTTGGTTCTGATTGAAGATAAAAAAGACACTTCTATGTTTAATATAGATGCATATCTCAATTGTTCAGTTGATCTAGAAATGCTTGAAAAAAGTAAACATTTAGAAAGTGAATCAACTAGATTAATTGATTCTGAGCCTTCCAAGATAAAAAAATTGTGGATATCATTAAAAATGAGTAGTTTTGCTAAACTGTTAAGGTAGTTGTTTTTTTGTTTTTTTATTTCATTTTTTCTAAATCAAAAAAAAGCAAAAATCTTTTTTAATACTATATCTAAAATATTGTTTTATTAATTAAAATATATTTTACTATTAATTTTTTGTTAATATTTTAATACCTAGTAATTCTTCTGTCCAAAAAACATCTGCGTTTCTCAATCTCTTACTCAGATAGTTAACTTTGTGACTTGTTTTCCTGACAACCCTTATCATTTACCTTCACTCCTTGACTTATGTCTTGTCTCTGACCCTAGCTTATGTTCAGTTTCTCGCTTTTCTCCCTTAGGTGGTTCTGACCATGCAATGATCGCTATAAATCTTTCTTCTTGTGCTTCTTTTTTATCATCGCACCACCTACTACTACCCTAAAGCTGACTGGGATTCTTTTCGTGATTTTCTTCGTGATGGTCCTTGGGCTGATGTTTTTTCTCTCTTAGCTGATAAATGCGCCTCCTACGTAACCTCCTGGATTCAGGCTGGAATGGAAGCTTTTATTTTTTCTCGTCGGTTTCAAGTCAAGCCTCATTCTACTCCATGGTTTTCTCCTTCTTGTGCGGCTGCTATATTCAATCATAATCATTTTTTTCATCTTTTTCAAAAGAACAACTCTCTTGAGAACAAACAGCTATTTATTATTGCAAGAAATCGATGTAAAAAGGTGCTTTCTGATGCTAAACTCCATTATTCTCAGTTCACTAATTCTTGCATCTTATCACAGAAGTTAGGCTCTAAAGACTTTTGGAAAATCTTTAACAGCATTATTAACAAGGGTACATCTAATATTCCATCTCTCATTCATGGGACTGATCTTATTACCTCTCCCAAGAAATAGGCAGAACTATTTGCAAAGAACTTTTCTTCTAATTCCACTCTTGAATCTTATGGACATTCTCTTCCTAATAGGTTGACCCATTGTTAGACATTCAAATCACTCCGGCTTCTGTTGCTAAAGTCATATCTCAATTAAACTCGTCTACAGCTTGTGGTCCAGACAACATTCCTGTCACAGTCTTGCAGATTTGTTCTCCAGAACTTTTTTCAATTCTCTCTAAACTAGTTAACAAGTGTTTGACTGAGTCTTATTTCCCTGCTTGTTGGAAAATGACATCTGTGGTTCCAATATTCAAAAACTCTGGAGAAAATTTTGACCCTCTCCAATTATTGTCCGATCAGTCTTCTTTCTGTTATTAGCAAGGTCTTTGAGTCTTTGATCAACAAATTCCTCACATCTCATCTAATTGAGTCAAATAAACTACTGTCAGACAATAAATACGGTTTTTGATCCTCTCGCTCTTTGGCCGACTTGTTAACTGCTGTAACTGAAAGATTTTATTGTGCATTAGATGGAGGCGGTGAGGCTAGGGCTATTGCTCTTGACATATCTAAAGCTTTCGACAAAGTTTGGCATGCTGGTCTTCTCCATAAGCTTGCTTCATATGGTGTTTCTGGGAAAGTTTTTGAGATTATCAAATCATTTTTTTCTTACCGGTTTATTTAAGTCATCCTTGAAGGCCAACACTCTTCTTTATTTCCAGTAACTTCTGGTGTTCCCTAAGGTTCCATCCTGGGCCCTGTTTTGTTTCTTATCTACATAAACAATCTTCCTGACTTTATCTAAAGTAGCTCTTTTTGTTGATGACTCAACTTTATACTCCTGTCTTGACAAAAAGTCTTCTCTTTTCGATCGCCTAGAACAAGAACTACCGTAATATGGTCTACATTCCTATATTAATGAATGGCAATCCTCTTACTTAGTCCTCCTCTTTACATCTTCTTGGATTATCGCTTACTACTGACCTTTCATGGAAACCATATATTCAATCGATTGCTAAATTAGCTTCTGCTAAGGTTGCTTCTCTTTATCGTGCTCGCCATTTCTTTACTTGCGACTTGCGACTTGCTTAATGGCATGCTCGCCATTTCTTTACTTCTGATTCCATTCTCTACCTCTACAAATCACTTATTCGCCCCTGTATGGAATACTGTTGTCATATTTGGGCTGGTTCTTCTAACGATTCACTTTCTCTTCTTGACAAGGTCCAAAAACGCATTGAAAATGTTGTTGGACCTGGACTATCTGCTAAGCTTGAGCCTCTTTCCCATCATCGTAAAGTTGCATCTCTTTTTCTTTTCTACAAATACTATCATGGTCACTGCTCAATGGAGTTATCATCTCTATTTCCATCAACTAAAATTCATTCTCATTTTACTCGTCATTCAGCTAAGCCTCATTCGTTTTCTGTATCTGTCAGGGACAGATACAGAAAACATGCTCTAAAAACTTTAATTCATCTTTTTTTTTTTCCCCCACTTTAATCCTTTGGAACTCTCTCCCATCTTCATGTTTTCCTGACTCATACAACCTTCAACTTTTCAAGTCTTCAGTCAACCGTTTCCTTGCTCTATAACTCTGTTCTTTTTTTTCCTTGTAACTCCCAACTTAATAGTGGTTGCTTGCAGCCTTGTTGGGAGTGAATGCAAATAAAATTAAAAAAAAAATTATTCAAAAATGTTTTTTAAGTTTTATTGTTCTTTCCCTTAATTTTGACATCTTAGAAATATTTTTAGAAACAAAGATTTCCTTCTTTCATCTACTCTCTATGGATTCCTTACTCTGTTTACTATTGGTTATGAAGATTTATTTCCAGTTTTTGCTTCAACTTCTATTGATTATGGTTTGTAGTTTCTTGTAATTATATAATAATTGTTATAATGTATATAATATTATAATATATAATTAATTCCATTTTCAACTTTTTTCAAAGTTATAGGAATGCTTAATGAAAGTAAATGTAAATACAGATTTTGAAAAAAATTTGGCAAACACATAAAAAATTATTGTTAAAAAATTAAAAGCACTTTTTTTAAATATTGCAACAAATCTTTTTTGTTTATCAAACACTTTGTTAAAAAAATTTTAAAAATGCTTTTATGTTTGTAATAATGTGAAAACACTTCTATGTTTTTAACACTTTTATAAAAAATTGTTTAAAACATAGAAGTGTTTGGCATGCTGGTCTTCTCCATAAGCTTGCTTCATATGGTGTTTCTGGGAACACCGGTTAGGAAGAAAACTCTTTTACATTGTAATTATTTAGAATTTAAATAAAATGTTCTTTTTGTCATTTTAATTATTATTTAGAATTGAAGTGAAGTGAAATAAAACATTCATTTCACTGTTTCTAATGTAATTATTTTATTTAGAATTTAAATAAGTTGTTTTTTTGTTGTTGCTATTTTTGTTGCTAATCTTGTTAAATAATTTTAAAAAAGTGTAATTTGCATTTTTATCTTAGTTAATTTGTTTAATATTTCTTTAAAACCTTTTTTTTTTGCTGTCATTGTTATTATTTTTCCTAGAAATGAAATAAAGTGTTTGCTCTGCTGTTTTTCTTTTAATTATTTTATTTAGAATTTATTCAAAGCATTCTTTTTGCTCTCTTTATTTTAATTTAAATAGCAAATAATAATAATAATTTTTTTAAATTGTGCATATATATATATATATATATATATATATATATATATATATATATATATATATATATATATATATATATATATATATATATATATATAGAGAGAGAGAGAGAGAGAGAGAGAGAGAGAGAGAGAGAGAGAGAGAGGCTATTCTAGATCATTTTTGACAGCATTAAACTTATTTGGGCAATATAATCTTGTTAGACAGAAGGTGTTTTAATCATTAAATCTGTCATCTTGCATTTAATCACCATCCTTCGCAAAGCTTCCATCACTTACCAACATTTATTTAATTGTAATTTAACATTTACAATAAATCTAGTTAATTTGTAATTTGTATTTTCAAATTTACAATAAATTTATTTCATTTTATTTTTTAAATTTTTTTTACACTTTGCAGGTGGTCTAGGTATGTCAACATCTGAAATAGGTTTACTTTATCTATATGTTTCGATTACAATGTTTATTTTACAACTTGTTCTTGTCAACAAGGTATGCAATAACTTTTATGACATTTTTTAAACAGAATCATTTAAAATCTTATCTAACTTTCTAAATATTCAAAGCTATAATGAAAAGTAATCAAATTTAAAATAGATAAAGTTAATTATATGCTTTAATTTAAAGTTCATAATTAAAAAAAAAATTTATATGAGTTTAACTTATCAATATATTACTAATAACTTATTTTCTACTTGCTGACACAACAAAAACAAGTTGATCAGAAAAGTATTAAAAGGCTGTTGCTAAGAGAAAAATTTCTCTGAGCTTTTTGATTATTAAATTTATTGTTATAATGATAATCTTAATGGGTTATATTTTCCCTAAATATTTTTTTTTTTAATGAAAAAATAACATTATGAATAAAATTCCAACCTGAGTTTTGTGTAAAAAATTATCGAAAGCAGGGATGTGATATTGACAAATAATATTTAAACTTTTCAATTTTAGATGATAGACAGATTTGGTTCAAAAAAGGTAAGCTGTTTGCAATCTTTATAAAATGTTATTTTTGAGCTGCAAAAACTATAGTTTTGATGCAGTAATTTTATTTTCAACACTATTTTATTTTTAGTATCTTAACTTTATTTCCAGATATTTATATCATCATCTCTCATATTTGGCTCTTTAATGCCTTTTATACCATTGATTAGCGTTATAAAAAACAAGTGAGTTTTTATGTTTTTTTATTTTGTCTAGCGTTTATGTTTTTAAAAAAGTTAAAATTTTTCTTTTATCAACTTATATATATATATATATATATATATATATATATATATATATATATATATATATATATATATATATATATATATATATATATATATATATATATACATACATATATATATACATATATACATATATATATACATATATACATATATACATATATATATACATATATATATACATATATACATATATATATACATATATACATATATACATATATACATATATACATATATACATATATATATACATATATACATATATATATATATATATATATATATATATATATATATATATATATATATATATATAAATATTTATATATATATATATATTTATATATATATATATATATATATAACTTATATATATATATATATATATATATATATATATATATATATATATATATATATATACATATATATATACATACATATATACATATATATATACATATATACATATATATATACATATATACATATATATATACATATATACATATATACATATATATATACATATATATATATATATATATATATATATATATATAAATATTTATATATATATATATTATATATATATATATATATATATATATATATATATATATATATATATATATATATATATATATATATATATATATATATATATATATATATATATATATATATATATATATATATATATATGTATATATATATAAATATTTATATATATATATATATATATATTTATATATATATATTTATATATTTATATATATATATATATATATATAAATATAAAGAGCTAGCGTCCCTTGTGCCATCTACTAAAATTCATTCTCGTGTTACTCGCCATTCAATTAAGTCTCATCCTTTTTCTGTGACTGTTCCTAAGTGCTTCAAAAACTCTTATTCTTCTAGTTTTTTTCCTCGAACATCAGTTCTTTGGAATTCGCTTCCTTCATCTTGCTTTCCTGATTCATATAATTTGCAATCTTTTAAGTCATCAGTCAATCGTTATCTTGCTCTACAGATTTAGTCTTTTCTCTTCCAGTAACTTCCAACTTTTATAGTGGTTGCTTGCAGCCTTGTTGGAAGTGAAGATGTTAAAAAAAAAAAAAAAATATATATATATATATATATATATATATATATATATATATATATATATATATATATATATATATATATATATATATATAAATATATATATATATATAAATATATATATATATATATATATATATATATAAATATAAATATATATATATATATATATATATATATATATATATATATATATATATATATATATATATATATATCCAGGCATTAGCACATTTAAAATCCGCTTTTAAATTTAATTTAATTTTAATCATGCCAAAAAGTATTAAAACTATATAAATAAATAAAAATATTAATAATGAAATTTTATAAAAGGTTTTTAAAAAAGATTTTTTTCTTTATTATTATTATTTCCTATTATTTATTTCTTAAAACAATCTTATTCATTGTTATGCAATCTTATCTTTTGTTTGCTTTATCACATTTGAGTTTTTTTTATTATTTTTTTAATATGTATTTAATAAACTATTTTAATAAAAATTATAAAGAATTTATAGATAGATGTTATTTGTTCCCAAAAAGATATTATAAATATAGTTTTTGTTCATAATTGAATTTTTTTTATGATCATAAATATTTTTTTTTTTATGTTTTAAATAAATTTTTATTTACTTAATTATTCTTTATTTTAATTCACTCCTACAAACATTTAATACCAGAGTTACTAGAAAACAAAGAATAGAGTTAAAGAGCAGGGAAACGGTTGACGAAAGATTTGTAAATTGTAAAGTGAAAGAGTTAAAGGTTGTATGAGTCAAGAAAACTGGAAGATGAGAGAGAATTCCAAATGGCTGATGTGTAAGGTAAAACCCAGGTTGACCCATTGTTAGACATTCAAATCACTCCAGCTTCTGTTGCTAAAGTCTTATCTCAATTAAACTCGTCTACAGCTTGTGGTCCAGACAACATTCCTGTCACAGTCTTGCAGAATTGTTCTCCAGAATTTTCTTCAATTCTCTCTAAACTATTTAACAAGTGTTTGACTGAGTCTTGTTTTCCTGCTTGTTGGAAAATGGCATCTGTGGTTCCAATATTCAAAAACTCTGGAAAAAATTCTGACCCCTCCAATTATCGTCCGATCAGTCTTCTTTCTGTTATTAGCAAGGTCTTTGAGTCTTTGATCAACAAATTCCTCACATCTCATCTTGAGTCAAATAAACTACTGTCAGACAATCAATACAGTTTTCAATCCTCTTGCTCAACTTGCTAACTGCTGTAACTGAAAGATTTTATCTTGCATTAGATAGAAGCGGTGAGGCTAGCGCTATTGCTCTCGACATATCTAAAGCTTTCGACAAAGTTTGGCATGCTGGTCTTCTCCATAAGCTTGCTTCATATGGTGTTTCTGGGAAAGTTTTTGAGATTATCAAATCATTTCTTTCTTACCGGTTTATTAAAGTCATCCTTGAAGGCCAACACTCTTCTTTATTTCCAGTAACTTCTGGTGTTCCCCAAGGTTCCATCCTGGGCCCTGTTTTGTTTCTTATCTACATAAACGATCTTCCTCACAACCTTTCATCTAAAGTAGCTCTTTTTGCTGATGACTCAACTTTATACTCCTGTCTTGACAAAAAGTCTTCTCTTTTCGATCGCCTAGAACAAGCAGCTGATCTTGAATCCGATCTCACTTCAGTAATAGATTGGGATTCACAGTGGCTTGCGAATTTCAACTCTAAAAAAACCCAGTTGCTTACTGCAAACAACTACCGTAATATGGTCAACATTCCTATATTAATGAATGGCAATCCTCTTACTGAGTCGTCCTCTTTACGTCTTCTTGGATTACTGCTTACTACTGACTTTTCATGGAAACCATATATACAATCGATTGCTAAATTAGCTTCTGCTAAGGTTGCTTCTCTTTATCGTGCTTGCTATTTTCTTACTTCTGATTCCATTCTCTACCTCTACAAATCTCTTATTCGTCCCTGTATGGAATACTGTTGTCATATTTGGGCTGGTTCTTCTAACAATTCACTTTCTCTTCTTGACAAGGTCCAAAAACGCATTGAAAATGTTGTTGGACCTGGACTATCTGCTAAGCTTGAACCTCTTTCCAATCGTCGTAAAGTTGCATCTCTTTCTCTTTTCTACAAATACTATCATGGTCACTGCTCAAAGGAGTTATCATCTCTAGTTCCATCAACTAAAATTTATTCTCGTTTTACTTGTCATTCAGCTAAGTCTCATTCGTTTACTGTATCTGTCCCTGCATGCTCTAAAAACTTTTATTCATCTAGTTTTTTTCCCCGCACTTCAATCCTTTGGAACTCTCTCCCATCTTCATGTTTTCCTGACTCATACAACCTTCAACTTTTCAAGTCTTCTGTCAACCGTTTCCTTGCTCTATAACTCTGTTCTTTTTTTACCTAGTAACTCCCAACTTGATAGTGGTTGCTTGTTGGGAGTGAATGCAAATAAAAATTAAAAAAAAAAAAAAACTAGACAAAAGTTTTAGAGCATGCAGATATAGTATAAGGATGGGACTGCTGAATGACAAGTCAAGCAAGAATGAGTTTTGATTGTTGGAGCTTAGAGATTCTTTGAGCAATAAACATGATATTTGTAGAAAAGAGAAAGAGATACAAGTTTATGATGACAGGATAAAGGCTTGGCAGATTAATATGAATTGTTCTGCTCACCCCTAAAATCTTTGCCTAGCAGGTCTTTGACATGAGAATAGCTTGATATATTTAGCATCTGCCAAAATATGATTTTTTTTACCAATACATCATTAGCCTTTACTCAACATTAAGGTTAAAAAATTTCCGGAAAAATTTTTCTACCAATAAACTTCATAGTTATTATATAGTTTTATAAAATTCATTTCTTTGTTTCAAAAATATGTGTTTTATCATTGTAGTATTTAGGTATTCTTTAAATATTTTAACAAAAAATATAAAATAATAAAGACTCACAAGCAAAAAATGCACATCTTTTAGTCAAACTTTTATATTTAATTTAAGAAGCACGCATATTTTTTAAAAAACAATTTAATGTCCAAGTTTTTATATGTTATTTTTACTTACATTACTTTTGTAAAACATCAAAAGTTTTCTGTGTTAGCTTGTCTTTTGAGCCTGTGTATATCATATATCTAGCTTTTACTTAATTTTTATTATTCATAAAAATGCATAGAATAAAGTCTTTTTTAGACTAATAAATTTTATTGTGTACTATTTTTGTAGTGTTTTAAAAAAGCAAATATTTTTTATGCATACATATTGCATACAAGGACAATTTTAGGGGGAGAGTATGTAGGGAAAGAGGGATGTTTTACCTCCTTAAAGAAGGTGATTTTTAAATTATAGTTGTTTTTTTTTATGAATTTAGTCGGTGAGTTGGGTATTTGACACAGTTCAGTAGGATGAATTTTAGGTTTTAAGAACCTCTTTTACTTTTATTTTTAAGAAATGGAACTTTTTATGGATTTTCACTATCCCATCTTACCCCCTCCCCTTTTTCCTTCATTTTTTTATATATTGATTTATAAAGTCAAAAGTCTCCTAGCAATGTTGTGGCGAGTGAGACTTTTATTTTTTTGATGCCCCAAGATTTCCTTACAGTCTTATCACTGAATACCTCAGAAGTACATTTGAAAGGAAGTTTACGCCCTTGATGTTGCACCCCCGATGTTACGCCCCCTTCTGTACCAATGTTGTAAAACTTGCCCAGAAATGAACTACGATCTCTAGTTTCTGAGGCGTGCTAACCGTTGCGCTTTAGCTCAAACGCACTTATCTAAACATAGCTGTGGACTTATGACCTTAAAATCATCAGTTCTCTAATTTTATTACTTACTTTATTTT